TACGCTTTTAAACCCGTCATCATCAAGCAGATGGTGGATGAATTGGGGGCAGTGCTTTGGGTGGACGCTGGAAGCCACATCAGTGGAAAAATGAAACAACTAATGACGTCCCTTTTTCAAAAAGATGGCTATGTCTTCATCGGTGTGCCTGGAAATGGGGAGGTGACTAAATGGACACACCCCGGTATGTTTTCCCATTTCAAGATCACGAAAGGACCATACGTAGGCAAGACTTCCTTTGCTGGGGGGTTGAACGGCTGGCTGAGACAAGGAGATATATACGACAAGATACTGGTTCCATGGGAAAAATGCGCGCTGTTTGAACGCTGCATTTCTCCTGTTGGGGCACACTTGCGTAACCATAGATACGACCAAGCCGCTCTCTCGTTGCTAGGATACACTTACATGTTTACGTATAATAGGACTTTATATCAACATACAGAACTAAGGGATATTGTACAAGAATCAAGAGGACACAATACTACGTATATGGAGTATGTAAAAGCATGTAATGGTACAAGAATAGCATGAAATTTAAAATGGCGTCTAACCTGGGCATTTCAGTGGGAAAAGTAGAAAAGCACTCAGAGAGCGCAGACCTTTGTCAAGGACCCTTCACTGATAGATTCCTCTGGTAGATTGTGGTTGTTGAGATCACACCCATTGCACCAGATCATTGTCACTATATCACAATGCTATAAAAACTTCTTTTTTTGACCCCGCAATGATGGATTGCACTGGTAGATTGTGGTTGTTGAGATCACACCCATTGCACATGATCATTGACACTATCTCGCAACCCTATGAACAATGTTTTTGACGTTGCACTGATAGATTGTGGTAATTGAGATCACACCCATTCTACATGATCATTGGCACAATCTGGCAAACTTTGAACAATTTTTGGATCCGGCTCCTGATCAAGATCACGAACCACCACCAAAGTCTTATCACTTTAAAGTTAGCCCATTTTCTGACTTATCCCGGAAATTTCATTGAAATCTATAATTTTTTTTATTTATAAGGCTGGTGGCAAACAAAAAGACCGAAATACGGAGAAGAACATTTATGAATAATAAAAAATAATTAACCTTTGATTTGGGTAAAAAGGGAAGCGAAACATTGAAATCTTTGTTTTATATAATCTTTATTCTTGGGAGTATATAGGTTTTAACAGGGATGTCAGCTTGGATTACAAGTTTTGCAGCATTCTTCATGATCATTGGGAAGGGAATATTTTAAGAAATAATCATCTCAGCTTTTATTTTAATATATTCTGATTAAACTATGAGTATACCAGCTTTTCCAATCACTGATTGTCAAAGATAAAACCTGCATTCGTATCCCAGATACAAATATATAAATATAAAAACAGTATAAGAAATACGAAATAAATGGGATTTGCCACGTAGTATTAATGGTATGTAAAAGGTAATGGGTAATTTAATAGGGTGTGCCTCATTATATCGATGTAGTACATGTGTCATCTGTACATATAATTATTATTCTTTGGACAGTTACATGTTGTATTCTGAGGATAAAACTATCCAGTGGATAGGATTATTATCCACTGGATAGTTATCCTTAAGATAACACTGGCTATAATTATTATAATTATTATTAATTATTATTATTATTATTATTATTATCCTCTGAATAGACTTTCTGAGGATAACACTATCCATGGGATGTAATTATTATCCTCTGGACAGACATTCTAAGGATAACACTATCCATTGGATGGAATAATTATCCTCTGGACAGACATTCCGAGGATAACACTATCCATGGGATGCAATTATTTTCCTCTGGAGAGGAGTTATTCGGAGGATAGCAGGCAGCCATTTTAACCAGTGGGTACTATCATTCATCAAAGTAATTATCTTCTTTGCTCATATGATAACTGTCCAGAGACAGTGTTGGGCACCATCTTGATGGCCTGCATATAGTGAAAAAGAAATAGTAAAATCTCACACAAGTTTGAAAAATACAACTTAGCTGGCCAAATACCAACCAATATAATTTACTTTATCAGTTGGCTCTGATACCACTATGGACGCAGAGGTAATGTTTATGCCAAAATATCAAAATATATTTAAAGCGTGTAGCTGTTAGACCTCGTGGAGCGGCACCCATGCCAAAGGAGGTAGAAAGGCAAACAGCTGGCAGTGACACATATTCCAAGGAACAATACTCCCAACTGCAAAAACAATAAAAATAAATAAATAAATATCTAAATAAAAATGGTAATTGTCATTTTGTTTAGTTATCAACATTACAGAACTGTAAGTTAATGTTCAGCATTTATTATCAAACAAAATATACATTATTTCAAACGAAACAATCCTCAAAAAGTATGTTGGCAGTTGTTTGCTGGTTAATAAGTTGGCTGTTGTTTGCTGGATAAAATACTTTAAAAGTTGTTTTGTTATTTGTACACTGTACATTTTCAGCACAATCAGCCTATTGTATGAACGTCAAACCTGATTCGATAATTTAGTCAAATGTTTCAATATTACATATTAAAAAATTAATCTATTTTCGCCTTATGTTGCCCTCCCTGAATGTATAATAGAATGACATAACGTACACATAAAATCTCATACATACCCAACGTGGGTCACTTTCCAGGTCGTACTTGTACCAGGAAAATATTGGTATTTCAAGGAAATTCAGGAAACTACTGACTGCAGCCTGTATTCCGTATGTCTTTCCAAAATGTTCCAGTGGAAACCTATAATATATATGTTTTTAAGGCGCAGGCCAATAAAGGGGTTAACGTACCTACGAGATTAATTCTTTTATTATTTTCCAGATCTCGCACTGAAGGCGAACATTTTCGTTTTGGTATCACACAGTCATCTTTTATAAAACTAAATAATACTATAAAAAATATTTTTCTGTAAGTGAGGTCAAACAAAGGTGAGCGGTGTGCAAACAAAGCTAAAATTGGACAAAGCATCGAGGTGAAAACGGTACGTCCGCATTCAGAACACGTTGATGATCGACGGATTAACAGATCTGCGAATCAAATGTGGTCTTCCCACTTAAAAGCTGGGTGCAAAACTCCCTACCACACACTGAATAGATGCCCCAATTACGCGACAAGCAATCAAGTGCGCCGGCCACATTTGATCCGGGGATCTGTTAGTCCACTGTTACATGTATGAACGCGGCGTATAAAGATCACATGAATACCATATCATAAGAATAAAGATTTTCTCGACTGTGCCAAGGAACTAAAGACACGTATCCATCTTAAACCTTCAGTTTGGGGGACATTAAAAAAAAAAAAAAAAAAAAAAAAAAAAAATATATATATATATATATATATATATATATATATATATATATATATATATATATATATATATATATATATATATATAACATCTTTAAAAATGAAAGAAAATAGTACATGTAGTATATGTACTTACGCAGATGCCACAAATGCCATATGCACGGCGTAGGTCCCTGTTTGTAACGCAGACTGAGAGAAAATAGACACAAACTGTAGCTTGAGAATTGGAATGATACACGGAATGGATACAACGATGCCTATCAATACTGTCAGGAAGAATGGAACCACGAAGCATTGCTCTTTGTCTGGAACAATAATATTAGGCCGCATTCAGAACAGAGGACTAACTTGTCTGAGGGTCATTAATGGTATACCCACTTAAATGCTTCCCCATCAATACTGTCAGGAAAAATGGAGCCATGAAGCATCGTTCTTTGTCTGGAACAATAATATTTGTCCGTGGTTCTTATCTGTGCTTTTTGAAAGCTAAAGCAAAAGTATCTTAAACAATTAGTAAACTACAGCCATAAAATGCACATAATACCTAATTCATATTATAGTAAATAATAAACTATATACTATACTGTGTAAAAAAAATGATATAATAATATTTTAAACCTTGCAATTTTAACCGGTAGTATTTAAGTTCAGGTCCCAGTTTCACAAAAAAAAAAAAAAAAAAAAAAAAAAAACTTAAGTCAGTTCTTTGGCTTAGTTGACTAGGATTTCCACGAGAGTGATGTAACACTGCTCCTGGTAGGGTAAGATGTGCCCATGTGACCCTGTAACCTGAGTAATTAATTTCTTACCAGGGAGCCTGACTTAAGTTTTTTTGTGAAACTGGGGCCAGATCCAATCAAAATGAGCAGAAGATAAGAAATAGAAAGAGTGAACAAATATTACATGAAATATAAATAAATTACCGCTCAAGCCATAAATCACCTTTACGTTAATTACCGTCTTTCGTTGACCTGGCCATGAGTTTATCCAGCATCAAGCCGATCAGCAATGCCCAGAACAGAGAACCCACTTGGGACCAGGAATACAAGTCCGTATACGTGCTTACTACAACATAATTAGAATTCGCTGAAATAATTTTTTCATTGTCCTTTGATCATGTAAAGGTGGTAAAATGAACTTAAGATGACTTAATTAACGTCCTACCCGCCGGAGCGCGCAGTTGAGGCGGACTGAGACAGACGTGCTCAAGGTCAAGGCCCTTTGTTGAGTGCTAAACTTGACAGGTTATGCTTCATAGGTTCTGGCTTCATAACTAAACGGTTTTCTGCCTCTTAATTAAAACAAGATGGATCTTTCTTTTAAAAAATCGTAACTACAGAGTTCCAATCGTAACAACCTCGTACATTAAGAAATCTATTCTGTCATAAAAACAAATTGCGGTGAAAGAATTGGAATGGGATAAATACTAATGATTACATTGCAAACCCGCATGAAAAATATACACGTAAATGTATTACCTGTGCTTTTGACATTATTTCCGTAGTAATTGATGATCGCATAAAAACAGCCTTTGTACGTGACAATAATGGTATCTAGACATATAAGCCACAACATCAACAACCAAAATGTGGGCTTTTTGAGAATCAGCAGGGTGCCATATAGTAAACTGGTGTTAGTGTTTTCGTCATCTTTTTTGCTGTCAGAATTTTCTCCTTCGCGGAGCATCTGGTCACTTCCGTCATCGAACGTTTCCTTGCAATTGGTTTTGCTCCTGGTTTGATGCCTGATGCTAAAACCCACATCTTGAAGATCAGTTATTTTATCGTTGTCCCCACGTGTTGCCTCCCCATCGGGCTTGACGTGGCCTGTTAGGGCTGGAAAGACATTTTTCTACGAATAAACATTGCATGCGTATGGCTACACCTATTAGTCAGTTTTCAAACGTGTCAAATTGAAAATGGTGTTGTCTAAGATATTGGCTGCAGCCCCTGCATCTATCCACCATACAAAGTTTAAGAATTTAACTAAGTACCAAACCACAAAACTTTTGTCATAAAATGTCTATAAAATGCTTCACTGTAAAATCCCATATTAGTACTTAGGCCATTCAGCGCCTCTTAACATAAATCAAACTTAACTACTTTGCCATTAAATGTTAAAGTTAGTTAATCAAATTGGGAATTTGAATTCGAAATATTTGTTGTGAGTGACGTAAATATTGTGATAATAACCTTTAGGATATAAGACTGCCATTAAACCAAGATGATTTCCAACAGGAATATATTCAACGTTCATGTAAATGGACAGAGAATGCAAAGTATATGTCTTTCAATCTAGCTACTTCGTTCTCTCTTTGGTGTATTATCAAGCTATAACTATTTCTTCTTATTTTTATCATTTAAGCATTCAATTAATTCCATCTTAATGACTACAGAACTCAAGATAACTGTCATTCATAAGAGGCTTTCTACATACATTTTCGTTAAAGAGAAAATGTATCGAATTAGGCGGATCTATTCTAATCATTGTATCATTTTACTGAAATGGCCCAACATGGACACAAATCTTGAAAAATGTGCAATCAAGAATATCTTTTTGATCAACAACACTCTTTTCATGATCAGTAAAATACCCCTTAATCCTTAAGAACCAAATATTGGCTAAAGGAATCTATATATTGTGTCCATCTTCAAAATAGTTGCAATGAACAAAATTTGGATGGCTTTTCAATATGGGTAATTTACCTTCGTTTTTTTATTGGGAGGGGGGAGGTATTAATTTATAGACGATTATTTTAACATCATCAAACAGGTGTAACGTGACTTAGAATCCCCAATGATAGAGAGTGCGCTTCTCATTCATTTGTACATTTATGACCCACTTAGGTCAGACTTTAATAACTATAATAACTAAATGGAGGACGGGGTTTCTGTTACATGGACCCTCAGTTTCGTTACACCGTGGTCACATGAATGGAAGTCCTGGGAATAGAAGTCCGGGCTCCCGTGTGATTAGTACATGTTAGGGTTATATGGAGTATTTGGGTTAGTATATGGGACGAATGTTACATGTACAAAGTGATGGGAAGCTGATTACTGTTCCCAGCAGATTTCCATTCCAGTTACTTCAGCAAGATGAGTTTAATCAACATAATTGATGCTCACCGAGTTGCTCACGTGTGACAGATTCATTTTCTTCCGTTTCATGGAATGTGTCAGCGCCATTTCTACAACTTTCCAGGTAGGGTTTGGGGTATTTTTTGGTTAAGCTGTGCCTTTTGCGTATCTTCAAACAGCAATCAATGTCGATGTTGTTCCCGTCGTCATCCTGTCTAGGTGGAAGGGTGAATGTGTTGACAGAAGACATTAGAAGTATGATACCGGCAAAGCTAAACATGCACGTCTTGTACGACAATCCAGCCTGGTACGCCATCTACAATTAATAAAATTAGTATAACATTAGTATAACATTTGAAAAACTTATACATTAAAAAAAAAAAAAAAAAAAAAAAAAAAAAAAAAAAAAAAAAAAAAAAAAAAAAAACTCATATTCCAAGTCAGCCAAAAGGGCATCCCATAAAACATAAATACCAGTCTAAATGACTGTTTAACAACCAGCAATATCAATAAGGTGCAAAATTAGGTCAACTGTAAGATAAAGATTTTATATTTTATGGATCTTCTATGAATGTTATTTGCTAAAATAACCCTTACGGCTCTCTTGCAACTGTGTGTGTGTGTGTGTCTGTGTGTGTGTCTCTGAGTGTAGGTGTATATTTACGTAAGGAATGCATGTATTACCTTTAAGAGTATGGGGACAAAGCCGCTGACGTCCATGGCACCGCAAATCAAGCAGGTGAGTGTCGCCTTCAGCTTGGGAAATAGCAGGGCCACCTGAATGTCAGTTATAGCCAATTGGTTGCCTCCCATTAGATGAAATACAGCCCCAGGGAATAACAGCCATTCTGTCCCTATCAAATTTGAAAACTGTCATTTTCTCTTGGTTATTTTTCCCCAAATTTTCGGTATGGTTCCACAAAATTTTGAAGATATCGTTTATGATTTCTGGATTTTAATCAAAATGTTCTTTGCCGTCTGAATCCAGGTTTGCACATTTACAAGCTTGGGAGACCTGGACCCTTAGAAAAGAAAATTGCAGCAAATTTATAGTTTTTAGGATTTTGCAGGAGTTAGCAAGAAAAAAAAACACATGAAAAATTACCCAACAAATCGAATCAAATAAAGAATAGCACATGAGTTTCTGGCATGATGCATGCATATAGGGCTCATGCTTCCTCCTCTCTGGATCCTCCATTAATCTAGCATCTTCCCTGCGCGTATTGAACACCACAGGGGTCCATTTCTTATGTTTATACTATCTGTTTTAGTTGTACTTGCGCCTTACAGATTAATATAAATTTAAGTATCTGTCAGTCTAAATGTTTATATCGTTAGTGTAAGTCGTGATATTTTCATACCTCTCCCTGCTAACGCCATCAGGCAAATTCCACCGGCACACAGTGTAATAACCGGTCGGTGGTTATACACTTGTTCTAAGAGTTACATTTTCACCAATAAGACAACTGAGACAGGCAGGAATAGTTTTCTGTTACATGGTTTATTCAAGCGCCTGAAGACTCGGGTCTCTTCTACCGTATCTATAACTATCTCTAACTCTCTCAGTCTGTAAGTCTCCCCGTCTCTGTGGCTCAGTCACTGCCTTTATACTCTATCTTAATTTGCATTTCAAATTAGCTTTCATAACTGTCATGAAACATGCCATGCCTATGTACATTAACTTAATTGTAGATACATTTAAATTAAATCTTGATTTGCATTTTAAATGAACTTCTCTTAAACTGCCATGCAACATGTCATGTCTATGTATATTTGAATAATTAAAACGTACAAATATATACATATCTGATGTATGCAAATTTAGAAGACTCAGTTCTAATTAACGGATCACTACACATATATCTCCCTTTTTTACCGAAAAAAATTAAGAAACTTAATTTTTTTT